AAGAAGAGTTATCGTAATATTGTTATTGTTATTATTCATTATTGTTTTCTGTATTGTTATCATTATCATCATTATTTTTAACATCAATGCAATAATGTTAATAGTAATGACAATAATAATAATCGTAATAATAATGATAATAATATTATTATTATTATCATTATGATTATCATTATTTTTACTGTTATCATTATCATCATTATTTTTAACATCAATGCAATAATGTTAATAGTAATGACAATAATAATAATCGTAACAATAATGATAATAATATTATTATTATTATTATCATTATCATTATGATCATAATGAATATTATGATCCTTGTCATTATTGCCTTTATTATTTTAATTATTATCAATACTATTATCATTATCATCACCACGTTATTATAGCTTTTATTTTGTTTTATTGCCATTATAATTTTTATCATTGCTAATATTACTGTCATTAGTACTTTCGCTATTATTATTATTAGTATTATTATTATTATTATTATGATTATTATTATTATTATTATTATTACTATTATAATTAGTATTACCATTATTATTGTCATTATTGTTTTTATCATTACTCTCATTATTGTTCATATTCTAGCGCTAATTCTTATTCTTATTCTTATTATCATTATTATTATCATTATCATCATTATTATTATTATTATTACTATTATCATTAGTATTACCATTATTATTATCATTATTGTTTTTATCATTACTCTCATTATTGTTCATATTCTAGTGCTAATTCTTATTCTTATTCTTATTATCATTATTATTATCAGTTATGTCCGTTACTATTACCATTGTATCATTATTATCACTGTTATCATTATTATCGTTATTGTTTTCATCATTATTACTATTGTCATTATTAGTATCATTACCATTATTGTTAATCATTATCATTATTCCTATTATCATTGTTAGTATTGTTATTATCCATATCGTTCACATTATCATTGTTATCGATATCATCATCATTATCATTATCATTATTATTATTATCATTATTACCATTATCATTATTATTACTGTTATCATTGTTATTATCATTATTACTATCACTATGATTTTCTATTCTGATTTATATTCTTCTGCTTAGTATTGCATCAGTATAGTGATAAATATAATAAATTTTACTATCATTAACATTACTATCATAATTATTATTATAGTTATAGATATAATTACTAGTATTAGAATCACCAACATCATTACTGTCATTACTATTAGTAACACTACTGTTAAAATCACTGTTACAAATATAATCAGTATCAGTATCGCAATTTAGTATTACTATAATGATCATCATTATTATTAGGATCGTAACTAATATCATTATCACTATCGTCATCAATGCTACTAATATTAATAATATTGTTATTTTTATTACTACTATCGATATTACCATTAAGTTAACAGTGATTATTATCACCATTATCATAATCATTATCATTATTATGATGATAATTATTATCCTTATTGTTATGATTATTATCATTATTATCATTATCAATATTTTAATTGTTATTATCATTATCAATATCATATTGTTATTATCATTATCATTACTATAGTTATTATCATTATCATTATTATGGTTATTATCATTATCATTATTATACTTATTATCATTATCATTATTATACCTATTATCATTATTTTTTTTTTTATCATTATTGGTATTCTTATTATCGTTATTATTATCGTTGTTATTATCATTATCATTATCTTTATTATCATTATCATTATTTCTATCATTATCATTATCATTATTTCTGTTATCATTAATGTTATTATCAATATTACTATCATCGTCCTTATTATCATAATGAATAATATAATCGTCATTTTCATTATCATTATTACCATTATAAATATTAATATCAATATTAAATTACGATTATTATAATCACTGCTATTATCATTATTATCATTATTATTGTTATCATCATTATCATGATTATCGTTGTTGTAGAAAATATCCGAAACAATATTTATTGAAAACGAGACAGTTTCGAAATTCCTTTTTCACAGAGGCGGGGCTTCCATGGTGGCATGGGGGGGGGGGGAACCCTCCTGCAATCTGATTAACCACCCCGATGGTCAGTGATTCGTCGTAATGTCAGTCATTGCGTAAATCGTAATTAGTTCTTTACCGACATCCACTTAATAAAAGTACACCCAGCAGATATAATATGGCCAAGAAAGGCAAGATGAAAATAGTAACTGTACAATATAAATATTGAAGTGGGTAGCTTTATTTTTTGTTATTTAGGGCGCCCCCCCCCCCGAGATATATTGCTGTTACCCCCTGTGCCCTCCCCCAGAAAAGCCCCTTCTTTTTCAGCCCTGAAGAAGAAGGGGAAAGAAAGGAGTAGGTGACAGAGAGAAGTAACGGGATAAATAAGGCAGATGAGGACAGGTGAACGGAAGTGAAGGGGGGCCAGTTCAGGTTAAGAGGTCAAGTGGTCTGTGCCAAGGGTGGCCGGCATAAGTGAATCGGGAAGCGAGGGAAGCTCCTGGATTTCAAGTTTTAAAAAGATGAACACATTAATTTCTGCACTAAAATGACATACATTCTTATTTTGATATTTGACATAATAGTTATTTCATTTTGAACATCAGACTCTGTTGTAGCTGTCCTCAGTTTTAGGGAGCCAGTGTTCTCAACAATTGAGTAACTAAAGAATTGCATTTTGTTCATTTGGGACAGGGGAGAAGTTGGATCCCGCCCCCCTCAATTCTAGAGTGGGGAGTGGTCGCCCCCTGCCCCCCCCTTTCCTACACCTATGGCATGAACATCAGCTGAAGGAAAGACAGAACGTGCAGCTGATCAATCCACTGATGGCAGATGGCGTTGTCGTGTCCCCTGGAAATAGTGTGTTCTTGTTGAGACAAGATTGACGCTTATCTCACCAAAGTACTGTTTATCACAGGAGGGACAAGGAATAGCATAGGTGCCCATCTTTGAAGTAGAGGGGGAGTTGGCATGGCCTAGGTTGCAGCGCTTACCTGGCAAAAGATAAGCCTGTAGCCGAGCAAGGTCTATATAAGTATAAAGATCTTATATAGACCTTGCAGCTGAGAGGGTGAAGGGGGTGAAGGAGATCGTAGATTTTCTCAGCGTAGGGCAGTCTCAAAACAGGGAAGTCAGGAGTCTCTTTAGGAGAGGAGTCCTGGTAAGAGGTATGCCGCGCCCTGGATAACGCGATGTCGAGAATATGACAAGTGTAGCACAGTTTAGAGACTGAACAACGAAGGAAATTTCATCTAGGTGCTGGTGATCAAGGACAGGGCAAGATAATGAGGCCAGAGAGCACAGATGTCATCGACGAATGGAGAGGGAAGGGAGAGGCTCAGACTTGAAGTACTCCATGAACAGGTTAACCAGTACAGGAAAGAAGGAAATGGTAACACCGAATGTCTGGGAGCAGAAACGACCCTGGACGGAAAGGGAATTAGACTCCACAGATGAATCAGCTGGAGGAAGACATCAGTTGTGTGCAAAAATCCTTTCTCTTTTTGTGTAAATGCAAACATATTTAGGGGACAGGTGAGTGACGGATGAACATTCATTGATTTAATTTGGCCCAAGTGGCATACCCTGCTTCTGGTTGGAAAACAGTGGAGAGGGAGTCGATAATATAAATATTTGATAGCCTCGATGTAGTGTTTCTTTGTATTACTTCTGACCAATGAAAAAAACTGAAAACAACACTCCCTTCCTGGACCAGGATACCACTTCTGTTCAGCCTTGAAACCAGACTTCAGCAAGGTCCCTTTAATAATCACCTTTTCTTTGAATTATTTTTGGTCTTTTTAACCCTACATGGTTAGGTTATCACTTATTAAATTCTCCCCTTTTAAAAATTATTCTTATTTTTTGTTTTGTGCATATTTATTTTCATTTTTTGGTGTGTTAACTTTTGCATCTATTCTTTTAGTTCATCCATTCAGTTAACTCTTCTTCTGCATCAATGTCTCAGTTGCACACTTTTCCATGTAAATAATGCCACGAGGAAGCACAAGTAATATACTGAGTTGGAATCCCCCATAGTCTCCGTGTTGGTCAACTTTATATGGTCTGTCCTTGAGTTAGTTGACTTGATATGCTGTTTCCTATATTTTAATTTTTTCAATGGAAGAAAAAAAAGTGGACAGAAAAAAAAACAGGAGAGTTGTCAGTTTTATTAGAAAATGTATGAGCAATATTTAAGATGGCAATGGCCTAGGCAGTTAACTTACAAAACATATCAAATATCTTAAAAAAGTAAAGTACTTCGTGAATGCTGAGACTACTCTACTAAACTTACAATTCCTGAAGAAAAGATTGCAAATAACCTGTCCTTGAAGACCGGCAGTGACATGCAAAATAACTACATCCGGTTGTGTCTTTACTATGATCATTAACCCAAAACATGAGGGATTAAGATCACTTTTGTTGTTTTTAAATAATTCTTAAAATTCAAGAAAATACACAGATCTTTGGCTCACTTAAATAATTTAAAGACAATGGAAGACAAAAATAAAGACAATAAAAAAGGGTATCTCCAGCTCATTGAACACTGCAAGAGACGGACAACTGCTTATCACCTGGTTGCAGCTACTTTTTTTGTTCTTAGTTACTTGGCATTAGACCTTACTTTCTTGCCAACATGGAACTTGGAGTATGATTGAATTACTGTTACAAAATTTGCATTTAATTAGGGCACAAACACTTCAAAATAAAATAAATGATATACATGTAATCTATTATCCTATCATATTTTCCAATAAAAGAATCAGATGACAACTATGTTGGTTACCTAATTATATAGATATACGAGAAGGAGAAATGAAATAAAAATAAATAAAAAATAGATTCAAAATCTGCACCTCACAAACTTAGAACTACAAGCCAATGGCGACACATCTCACCATGATCAACGGGTAATCTTTCTTGCTTAACATGATCCTTTTTGACACATTAATCCTAAAGCTACCCTTCATTTGAGCAATACTGCTTGGTCTTTTATCGCCATGCTTTCAAGTTCCATTAACATGATAATAACACAAGGCAAAGTATGGACAGTAGAGCAACAGCACTGAAGTGTAAATAATAATAGTGGCCTTGTCACATGAGCTATGATCATTAATGACACTACAGGTGCTGTCACTAATGACCTTTTCAATAGTCTTGGTCATTATTAAGTATTCTAAAAAATAAGAGAATCTGAGGGCTGAGTTGTTACTCTAATCACAGGGCTGGTTATGGTTTATAAATATTGAAAGCTTTAAGGCAGTGTATATCTGGTCATTAAGTCTGTACCTCTGTTGACTTTCAACTTCACAACAGAGTTTTTATTTATAAATTAAAAAATGAGGTATGAATGATAAGAAAATGGGTAGAGTAAGAAAATAAATTGGTTGCAGGCACCCCTGAGAGATTGTATCTAATAATATCACACAATACATACTGTTTGAAGCTTTAATGACCCCTTTATATGACAAATTACATTAAGCTTAAAAAACTTGTCTACATTTTGTTTTTACAGAAAACTCTAAATATCACAGTTTACAACCTGAATAACCAACACCTCAATAACCTTTAGCAAAATGTCCACCATCTGATTTTGGCCTTTCTCTAGTGAAATGTTTCCTTTTGGAGGTCTAAAATCTTTGCTAAAAAATATAGTGTGTTAGTAAATATTCAGTATAAAAAACGTTCTCAAATGATTCTCCATTTTAAAACCATCTACAGCAAACCTAATACTATATGAAGTCTCTCATGAGGGTATTTGCCTTTCTAACTCTACCGCGGCTACTGACGTCAACCTCTTCATTTTCCTCTTCGTCACTGAACCTCTGTCTTTTTTTAGACTTCTTGCTCTTAGCACACTCATAGTCAGAGTCACTTTCATAGGAGCGTTTTGCATTTGTTGGATTTGTCAATGGTTTCCCTTTGCCTTTTGTATATGTAGGTGTTGGGTAACCTTCACTACTTTCTTCTGATTCAGAATCTTCACTTTCACTCTCCTCCTCCTCTTCCTCTTCCTCTTCATCATCACCATGATCATTTTCACCACATGTTGATGTTATGACCCTCCCAAATACACGTCCTCTATGTTCAATCTGATCAACTACAGTAACAATCTGACTTCCATAGCTAAGGGGTTGATAAGGAATGGGTGACTGGCCAGGTCTATTGATTGTGATAAGCTCTTGCACATTCTTCGGTTGTGGTCGCTTGCTGGGTGGCTGAGCCTTCTTGGACTTGGCATTTGTATTGTTCTTCTTCTTTGTATTACTTTTCTTTGGTTGTGTCTTCTTTGTGCTCTTTTTGGCAGGCACTTTCTTTTTAGAAGATTTGGCCTTCTTTTTCTCCTTTTTCTTCTTCTTTACATGCTTGACATGATCTTCACTGCCTTCATCACTTTCAGACTGAGAACTTGACTCTTCTTCTGTTAGGTCTGCATCATCAATGAAATCTTTATCAACAATGAAATCTCTGTCATCTTCATCATCACCATCAAGAATGATCTTTCTTGCCCTTCTTACGCTGGATGCAACACCCCTCTTCCTGCCTCGACGACTGTTTAGGTCATCATCCGCACTCTCCTCTGTACTTGATTCTAGGTCTTCATCATCAAATTCTACCTCACTCTCCTCTTTACTATATCGTTTGATGTTCACTGGTTTTCCTTTTGATGTGGGTGGTATCTGACCTTTACTCTTACCTTTGGGATGGGCCTTACCTACACTACTAGAACTACTATCACTTGTGGATTGTCTTCTCTTAACATACCCAAGCTTTCCTTTAGACTGATCTTTACTGTAATCATTACCTTCATCATCCGAAAGACTAGAGGAACCACTACTATCTTCACTCTCTTCACTGCTCTTTGGCTCAGTCACTTTTCCAACCCCTACCTGTCTGGCCTGTTTTCTATTGTCCACACCATTTACTCCATTTGACTTGCCCTTGCTGCCAAATTCTTCATCTGACTCATCACTAGAGCTTTCAAGCCTACTTTTCATGCCAAATATTTGGCCATTAGTTCTTTTTGTACTTGGGCCAGGAATATCACAACCACTACTATTGTCATTACTTTCACTTTCCACAACATTTTTCTTTTTGGTGTTACCACCACTATTTTTGTTTTTGAAACTTACATATTCATCCTCACTCTCTTCTTTGTACTGGACGGTAACTCTGCCTCGGTTTCTTGTTGCCACACCTTTTTTCTTGGTCTTTGCTGACGATTTTTTCTTTCTGTTCCGAGGATTGTATTCCTCGCCTGAGTCATCGTCATCATTGCTGTTCATAAGTTTCTTTCTTGCAACTCTGCGAGACCTTCTTGCCCCATCAGCATTGGAGAAAAGACTGGTGTCCATGATGTCTTCCTCCTCTTCCTCATCTTCAATATGATTTTCTTCATCTTCAAAAGTGGTTGAGAGCGAATATTCAGCACGATGGGGAGGAACAATAGGCCTGCCAAAGGCTGTTGATGTGACAGGACTTCTCCTTTCCCCAGCTGAGGCAGAAGCACCATCTGAAAAAATTTTCATACTCTGAACATTTTCACAATGAAAGTAATGAGTCTACAGTATCACAAGACAATGTGATGGGGTTAAACCTGATCAATTAATATTAAAAGAATACCACTCATTTCCTGCAATCCAGAAGCTACCTTATGGGGGCAAAAAGCAAAGCTAAACTATGCTTCCCCATGGTTTAATTTTGCTCTTTTAATTACCCAGGAAAAAGTGATTGCAAATGTTTTCATCTATAAAACACATAACATATTGATTTCATAAGGATACTCTGGAAGGACAATCTTGAAGTTTTTGAGAAGATAACCTTACCAAGTTAAAGTTACGAAGACCTTGCCAATATACCTAAATAAATCTATACATTTGGGTATGAGAAAAACAGAGGGAGAATGAGAGAGAGAGAGAGAGAGAGAGA